CTGTTTTTTCCCTTTGAGTGTCTCTTAAATGGGATACTTGCTTTTCTCAAGCAGTTCATTAAGAAGTAAAAGGGTGAGCATTCCCACCCATTGACTTAGCTAGTTTCCTAAAAGGGTGGGTGGGTCAGTACCAAGGGCATTAGATGCTCTGCATTTTCCAAAAGCAGGACACTTGAAGAAGCCTTAAAACATGGATATAGATGCTGAACTACAGGTAACCGTACCTGAAAAAGCTCTCTCAGGGCTTTAAAGACCACAGACTATGCATTAGAGTAGAGATGATGAGCAGCACTCAAAGCCAAAAACAATCCTAAAACAAAAACCCATGCCTACTATTAAGACGTAGCATCCAGGTGGCCTTATATACCCCCACACATTCTCCTGATTTTATCATTTAGGTAAAATATGTCTGAGCGATACTGTACAGACAGGAAAAGCCAGTCTTCTTACAGGCGGTAATAAAGACTAGAGCTGTCCAAAGGTCTCTGGGAGTGCAAATGTATTTGTTTCAGTAGATCTAGTCTGTGAGGATGCACAGCCTCCAGATTACAGCTTCATTTGGTGCCAAGTTGCAGGCAAAGAAAACTTGATTACAATATGATCTTTAATACAGCTGAACAGTTGATTAATATTCAGCTCTCAGTTCGTCTCTCATGGTTTGGTCCTACAGGGATTTCAGTCACAGATTTTAAAGAACAAGCTGCATGAATATCTGAGACAGGCTTTCTAGAAACGGATAAGATGGCTTCAGTAAAAAATCACAACAGGTATACAGGAGTCCAAAGACAAGTTACACTGAAACCTTAATTTATTCACGAAAACCTTTGCAGGAAAATATGAACGATCTGTTGAAATGCATTCTCTCTCTGCATCTACCAGGCTTTCAGCAGACACTGAGAACAGAGCAGCATTGATGCTTAGGGACTTGTTCCTGGGGACGTGTTCCTCCACTGAGTCCAGTCTGGCTCACACCCCTGCGTAGGGCACCCAAACCCATTCAATCTATTTCTTGTTGAATTGACCTTGGCTGCATTTGCATGACTATCTCTGGCATTCTGTTATCTGTTTGATTTCTGCAGTATTCCCACCATCATAATCTTTTCAGGTTCAGTCGCTCCCATGCCTAGATTTCACCTCCTACCCTCCTTCCAGTTTCCTCATTTGTCTCCAAATGATTACACTTTACGTCTGTTATTGTTCCAACTTCAGCCTTTGAGTGCCTGGTTATCTACTTTAGTTGACTACACTGTTCAGTCCACAAAAACATACTGTTCATGCAGTCTTGATACATTTGTATTTGACATTAAATATAACACTTTAATGCAATACTTTTAATCTCAAACACAAGAGAATGCCCAGCAAAGATTAAATTTACAAGGTACACAAAATAACTGCTTGTTTTATAATTTCCTTTTCCTAGTTGCAACTAATTCATCGACATGACAATTGTTAAATAATTCCTCCAGTTTTGTATGCTGTCTAGGGATATGTCAGATATATGATTGTACCTTGACATCATACCGTCAGTGGCTTTGTTCTTTAATACATCTAGCATTTGTAGTATCTGATTAAAAGGAGTGAATTCATACTGGTTTGTCATTCACTAAACTTTTATATGAAACAATTGCTTAATCCCCATAAATCCTTACAGCACTGTTATGTAGCTATTCAATCATAGCTTTTATCAGTGCATTTATGTGGATCTCCGTGTGTTTCTTCTACTTCCCACAACATATCTGAGGTGAATGCTATGATGAATCCAGCAGAAGCAGTCACAGTGGAGTGCCTCCACTCTCCATACTTTTCCACGTACTGCTGGAGTACTGATATCTTGACCACTGCAACATACCCTGGTTTGAAGTCACACTGTCTCTTCCCCCTACTCGGCAGCTAACTGCAGCCTGTTGACAATTGATTTCATCAGGACAATGAACTTATACCTCTGGATTGCTTGGAATGAAAGGAACTCCTTTCCTCAGGGTTCACTCAGCTATTTATTCAGCTACCTTGAACCTCTACTTGCTCCAATATACCTTTGCAGATTATTTTTTCTGCTTTGGCAGAATTTGCTCCTCCAGACCCTAAGAGGCCAGCTATGCTATTCATCTCTTCTTGGAGGACATCTGCTTTTAACTCTTTCTCAGAGCAGAGTTTTCTGATGAAGGAACTGTTTCCATTCAAGCGTGTTTACTGTGTTTGCATTGCAGGATGCACCGCAAGGTTCTAAAGCTGGCTAAGGCAGCTTTTTTCCTCTATATTTACTTCACCTTTGTGGTATGTGGTTCACCGCTCTTTTTCCCCCCTAATTGTTGGTATTATTGGCCCAACTGTATTTCCACAGAAATTAAGCTATAGCACATTGCTCCCGTGCCTTGTTTTCTTGATCTTCCCTCTGATCTTCCCCTGCTTGTCCAGCCTCAGAGTGATTTGCTCAATTTTCTGCAAGATACTTTTACTTCTTTTGTTTCCTTCAGGCTTGGCTTGTTTACATTTCCCCCATATTGCCTTGTTTTATTGCTCATCTAGACTGTTTTTAACTATGTGTACTTTCCAATAACTTCCTTCACTTTGTTTTTTATCACTTCCTTGAATATATCACAGCTGATCTGTAGCGAGATTTTTTCTTCCTTGCAAATCAGTGGCCTGAAAAGTCACCAAAAACCACCTCAGAGGACTGCCTCCAAGAGCTCTCATTTAACACAGCCCTGTACTTGGACACAGAAGGTTTGAGGTGCTTTCCACAGGTGAACAGAAGCAGGAAAGCACTCCACCTTGACTGAATCCATAATGTTTCCACTGAATAACATGGATAAGATGCTACAGAGCCAGGTGCGGTGGGGACACAAACTCCAAGCAGGCAGCTCACAGAGCTACACAGGTGAGTCTGTCTCAGGGGACAGCCCTGAGTTCCCACCTGGATGATGGAAACTGTCTTGCTTTGAACAGCAAGAGGGCAACATCTGGTCCTGGCCACACAGCAGGCCGTGACGTGGCTCTCCTTCCTTCTGCACAAAATAGGCTGGCCAAAAAGGCACCCACTCTGTCCAGAAGAATGCAGTAAGCCACGCTGATTTTTCTGGAGCTTGGCCATCAGGCCTAGGCCATGGAAAGGGCTCTGGATTTCCAATAAGTTGAACCTCCAGGAATCTGGAACTATCAAAATGGAGTGAGGCAATTTAATTCCAGCATTGGCAAGACAGTATTTGGACGCAACACATTACAAGATGTCCTGCCAGTTCTGGTTTTGGACACACACTCCAAAGCAGGTGAATCCTTCCTTATTTGTAGTTTCACAGCGAGTAAAACTTTTCACGGAGCTCTAGCAAAGATGAAACTAGCTGGCTGCTAGAACAAGAGATCTGAGAGAAGTGGTCCACCTTGAAAGAGCTACTGTGCCTGTTGCCAGCAGTTTCTGAAATGAAAGCCAATTAAATTAAAATAATTGTAGCCTACCTCTCAATATGCATTGAGACAGATACCTGTGTGTAAACAAAACCTGTATTTGCATACACAGACTTGTACTAGATGGCATATGTGTTTTGTGTGCATGTGGGCACACAGGAGCAGAGGTACTTTCTAGGAATGAGCTTTTCAGACTTTCCTTGTCAGACCAGACCACCTTCACCTCTGTGATCTCAGATGCCCTGGTGTTGGAGAAGGAAGAGGTCCTTTGCTTCTCCTGGGTTTCTGAAACCACTTCACTTCAGACTCTCTTTTTTATGTCTCTGCTTCTGACATATTTGCCAATCAAAGTACATCTCTATCTCCCTCACTCTCTTACCGTCATGTTAAGAGTAGGCCAAGTATTGTGGACTTTGGCAATTGAGTCCTAAAAAAAAATTAATCTCAGGAGCTTTGTTATAGAATAAAGAACGTTGGGCTGGATGGTGTTGCCAAACGTTGAAAAGCTTCCGTAAAAATGTACATTTTCCTATAGTGCTACAAAGCCCATATTTACCGAATAGACTGTCAGGAGTCCAAAGGAGCTTCTACAAAATTTCTGGTAAATAGTATTTGTTTTAAGAATTGATAGGCATGCCAAAAACAACGTACTGCATTTATCAGCTTGGAACTATTACAATCTTTACAGTAAATAATATCCTGGTTTCTGAAAAAGCCTAAAATGTGTGTGTAATCCAATTGTGTCACCTCTCATTTCCTTCAAAGAGGGGGGAAAAAGGCAAAACTAAGTCTTAAATTCTGTTTTGAATTAACTGCCACTTTAAGTGACCTCTTTGTGCAAAGCTATTACTGCAAATACTATCTCTGAGATCATTCAGTCATCTCTGATCCTTGCAACGCATAACTACAAGGTAGTTAATACTATCGGCACTATCAACTTGCATTTGTGCAGGGCTTCTCATCCAAAATGTTCTAGCTCCTTGCTGGGTATCTTCTCACTGGGGACCAGGCTGCGCTCTCCAGGGACAGGCTCATACTGTGTGTGCTGTATTAATTATTGCAAAGCACAGGGCATATGGGAGCAGGGGGGGAGCTGGTATCATACACTTTAACTGCCCTTCAGTGTGCCACTGTTAAAGCAAATACCCCTCCCTAAGGTGAAAACCAGCAACAAGTACTCTACAGTGCTGCACAGCCATTGAGAGAAGGACTTGAAGAATATTCCAGGTATTATTCTCAATTCCACTCAGTTCTTTTTACATACCTCTGACAGTATGGAGAGACCTAAGTGTAAGAAAGGTTCAGACTCTCTAACAGAAACTGCAAGGCTAGAAGGGGTACTTAAACAGAGAGACTTGCTTAATCAAGCTTTGATAGAGCCCTAATTCTAGTTAGGACAATCTGCTGTGGTAAAAGCTTAAACATTTCAATTAGGATGATTAAAAACCCAATTAATTTTCATTAGAATAAAGGCAATTTAAACTCATTACACTATTCTTTGTTGTCAGTCATGCCAGCCCCTCACTCTCTGCATTCAGCCATGCACCCACAAATACCTTTCCACACTATGTCATTTATTCCTGGTCCCTCCTCCTCACCTTCCTCAGCAGACAACGGCTCCTCTTCTCAATGGTATCTTCTGAGTGTGTTAGCAGTTACTTGCTGAGGATTGAGAAGCTCATCTCACCTCTCTTCTGCCCTGCTGATTACTGAGGCTCTGTTGTTTCTTCTAGTCAAACCTGTTTCTGAATGCTCCTGCAGCTTTCTCTCTCTCAGCTGCTGGAGAAGGTTGAGGTGGTGAGCTGGAGAGCTGGAGAGCAAAGAAGAAAGAAGAGAATTTATACTTTGGTATTTTGGAAGCTGGAATCCAGGGAGAAGCTTAAGAACGTGACTTGAGGCCAAAATGCTTGGCTCTCCAGTTACAGAGTGGAGAGAGGCAGGTTTATTCCTATCACAACACTGTGGCCCATGTCTTCTCAGGAGCTGCCAGCATCAGTGATGTGTGGTGGGTTCAGAGGAACCTCTCCTTCTTGCATCTCCTTTCCGCAGCACTGTGGGAGGAAAGGGATAACAGAAGAATTAGCAGCAGTGCAAGAAACTTGTCTGAGCTAGAGTGGTCTACTGTGGAGCATAATACATACCACATTATGAGAACATGTGCCTGGGAGTTATTATCGGGACATCTGGCGGTTACAATTCCTCCTGTCACTGTCCTCCTCAACTGTCCTCCCTTCCCCTCATTCCAGCAGACTTGTGGCCCTCAAACTGTTAATTTGGTCTTTGACTACTATTTCATTTATCCCAGCTGCTGAGTTAGGGAAAAAAATAAAGCGGCATCTCACTGAAAACAGATGCTACCTCTGCACTAAGCAGATAAATTAAATACATAAAGCATGGGTTGTTTACAATGTTGATTCTTTGTAAATTTTTAGTATTTTTATCCTTGATATTAAAATTCCAAGTACATTGTATCACTTTAGTTTTGATCTATCTGGATTAGTGAAATAGCCCATTAGCATTTCTTATGAGTACTGTAAATTAAATGGACTAACAATTTACCACAGAAATGATAGTAAGGAAAAAAAAAAAAAAAAACCAAAAACGGAGACCTGCTTTTATTCCCATAGAACATATGCAGCTTTTCTAGCCTGCATTTTTCTACTGTCATTTACATTTCTATGTTATTTTTCCCTATATCCAACATGCGTAACTTTAATGCACTAGAGTAAACCATGCACTCCCAACATAGACCTGCATACACAGATGCACAGAGAAATACAGTTCCACGCAGAGATGCTGGACTAAAGCCATTCCAGCACGCTGTTCTTCTTGGAGATTGCTGGCTCCACAACAAACAGTGATGTATTTTGTTATCTAGTTAGCAGAACTGAGACAAACACATTTGTTTAGTACAGTGCAATAGTCAAAGCTGACCCTACAGCCTCTGAGAGAAAAAGTGCTCTTTTTGTTGGAAACACCTGATCAGTGTTTACAGTTCTATGGAAATACAACAATGTGCATAGTACAATAATCCTGAAAAGTCAAATGAGAAATGCCTGTGATTTTCAGGTGTCAAAGATAACAGACAATCTTTGCAACTTGTTAGATCTATGGAAACAGAGAAACTCTTCTCTTAGGAAAGACAGGCAGGGAGTTTGCGGTCTGCCAGGGCCATCAGAATTTGGAATTTGTTAAAGTTTCAAGGTTTTGTGTCTCAAGTTACATTAAACAGAATATGTATATGAAAGCATATCAGTGTCTACATTGATGTATGCTGATTTTCATCTCAGTAATATAAAAAAATAAATTACAACAAAAAATGGTTTGGCAGCAAAGCCGTCTTCAGACATGGTTAGGGCAATATGAGTGGAAGAAAGAGCTACGGTCAAAGTCAAAGCACGGCAACTGCAGAATTTCATGCACTACATGTTTATATAGGTTTTCATCTCCTTTTGCCTCCTTTGGCACTTATGATGTATGCCCCAGGCAGATCCAGGAAAGTTGCCACAGACATCCTGGAAATCACTACATCTGGGGTCCAGACTAGAGTAGTGGTGGGGTATAGGGAGGGGGTAGTGGCAGATTCTCACACGACAAGGCAGCCCCAATGACTGATGCTTGCGGTCCTTTCATTACACCTTCTGCACAGGAGTTAGATGGCTCAGTCACTGTTTCGCCTGATTTCTGTGAAAACTGTCTGAATGCACAGAGATGTGAAAAGTCTGTCACGCTTACTTCTCACAATACGAGATGGGGCAAGATTTACCTTTGCGCTCTTCTCCTTGGAAAACTTGTAAAAGGAAGCAGATAATTTGGCTAGTTTTAATTTGTAGATAGGCACCTGCCTTTCTGTGTATAGGCCAAACTCTGAGATTATGCTTGTTACTGATGTTAGAGAGTTCAGAGAAGCCCCTATAAGACCACTCTTGTATGCTTTCTGGTAAACCAAGGGTAAAGTAACAGGAAATAGCAGGAAGCCCTGATCTTTTTGATTCCTTCTGGGCAAATCACCTAAAATCTGGAAGTCTGGTGTCATCCATAATCCTTTACTGGAGTCACACCTACTCAGAAATTGCTGTAGCCCAGTTGCAGATCAGGGCTTCCTACTCTGTCCTGTTGCTTTACCTCTGGTTTGCTGGGCTGCATGCAACAATGTGCTTATGGGGGCATCCAAAACTTAACCCTTAGGAACACAGGCACTCAGAAGCAGCCTTTTGCAGACCTCTTTGGGGCAGTCACATACTCTTTTTGTCAGAACTAGGACAGGTTTTGCAGTGGTTGGAGATGGGGTTTGTGATTTATACAAACTGATCAGAATTACAAGCCTATTTGAAATTATGGATCACCAAACCAGTCTTTTCATCCCAGTCACTTCAAAAATAACTTCTCTTGTTAATGTACTGGGAAGGTAAATGGATTGCCAGGAAAATGATTTCCTGAAACTTATTTTTTGATGATCTGATTCGTGAGTGGTTAGTGAGGGTCAGTTGATCACTGTGATTTTACATATGAAGAAATTAATTCTTTCCTATTCATATCTGAACAACTGTCATTGATTTTTCCATAGATCACTCAGATATAAAATCAATTATTCAGTCCACTCATTTATCAAATAAAAGTTTTTATATGCTTGTATTCTCCTTGTCACTGGGCAATTGTTTTCTGCTAAAACTGCGTTTAGTGAAACTACAACTATAGTCACTCTAACAAACCCATTAACTGCAGTAGCTCTTATAGAGTCCCTTCTTTCTGCTTCTTGTGAAAGCCAAAACTCAGTGCTAGTGTGACACCCTAGCAGGCAAACAGGAATCCAAAAGAGGCTTCAGCAGACAACTGAAACCTTCTTGTATTTTTACTGAGAAAACTACACTGTGTTTTCCAAAAATCAAAAACTGTGCTCATTTTTTGGAAGACATCGTGACAATGGTAAAACCTATATCTGAAAGCACATGACAAATCACTTCTGATAGCAGAAGGGCCAAGATTCAGCACATATTTGTCAAACAACCTTCAATCAGCAAGTACAAAAGCTGTCTGCAGTGCAGCAGGAACCACTGCGGTATTAAATCTGCAGTTCAAGAACAGCAACTTCCACAATGTTTAACACATCAGTAAGATTCCTATTATGTATGAACTGTATTCTGGCTATTTTTTAACCATTCCTGGCGAGCAAAACCCTGAAAATGTACACTGACTCACTTGTTACGTAATCCTAGGATGAATTCCTACCCTTAAGTAATTGACCTCACAGTTCTTACATCCTTCTTCAGCAATTAGAGGTCCAGAGGTTAACTGAGGATCTAACAAGCTTCTTATAAATATGTGAGGACAAATCCTGCTCAGTGGGTCATTCACTGACATGCCTGCATGAAGCAAGCCATCAGGATCTGCCCATTATCATAGTGAACAGAAGAATGGCCATTAAATTCAGTGGTGAGCGAGCACCACTGTGGGAGAAGGTGCTGAATCAGGCCTTTATCTCAGAATAAGTTAGCACCAGTCAAGGGAGTTGGGGAATGAAATTGCCAGTTTAAACTGTAGTGTAGTTTTTATTTAATTTGACAGCTTTCAAAGTATACATCCTGTAACATTTTGCAAAAAAAGCAAGAACTGACTGTCATACCAGGGTCCTGTAAATGTCTCTCAGTACCAGAAATAATTAGAAAGTGTAAAAGTATACTTTGCACTAAGAAAAAATAAATTAGGGTACAGTGATCAGATTTTCTCTGTGTCAACATGAAGATCAAGGTCAGAAAACTGAGCCAAATATCCTCAGCTATCTTTTAACACAAGGGCCTTTTTTCCTTGTAGTACTGCCATAGCAAAACAGATGCTAGAAATTCTCACTCCAAAACTCTTTGCTTTTCATCCAGTTTTAAAGCTGTGGTGACGTTCCAAGTTAAACTCACAAAGGAGAAAGAAATATGCTGGTGTTTTCATTGTAATATGAATTTTCCATTGAAGATGTGGTTGAATTAGCAGTTCATTTTTTCACTATTACTTTAATTTGCTCCTTGTGGTCAGTCTTTTTTTTCCTTTCTATAAAAGTCATGCCTCAGTCCTACGCCTTTTGAGACACCTCAACATAAAATGTTTTAAAGGGAAGGGAACTGTCTAATTATATGTCTGTAAAGTGGCTAGAGAACTTCATTTGTGTGGAGTAAAACAAATAAGAGAAAATGTGGAGGAATGTGCTGCTGAATGAATGTGGACATACCCATCTTGTTCCCATACATGGGCAGTAATATTAAGGTGTTGGGAGGGATTCCGAGTCTAGACATCCATTATAGGTTTGTATTTTCAGCCCCTCTTTTAACTTGTGCCTGAAGTAACGGATGTGTTCACACACTGGGACATTTAAAACAAGGCAGAGGGAAACATTTTTTTTCCCCCCACTTTTTTACTCCTTAGCATATGGAAAGCAAAGATTTTTTTTTTTCTTTTTTTTTAATAAACTTCTCACACTTTATTTACCTCCCAGGTGCTATGCTTTAGGGGTTGTCCAGTTCTGATCAACAATGGGCTTTCAGAGCCTAGGATGCAGACGTTTTAAGTTGTGACATTAAGTTAAGACATTTTAAATTGCGGACCATTTTTCAGGAGGTAACACATAAGGAATTCAAGGCTGGTGGGTCACCTTTAGCTGGACATCAATGCAGAGTTGTAATCTCAATGCCAGTACTAGCCGCTATGAGTGTGTGAGAAGAACAAATGCAACTCATGATAGTTTTCTTTTATGGAAGGTCATAGAGACTATGAGTGGTTAAGCCAAAGGCATACTGGAGAGGAAATTGGCAGTAGAAAACACAGAGGAGGCAGCTGCCTGAGACCCCCATCTTGAAGCTAAATAGGGAAGCAGTGAATTTGGCTCACTGAAAAGATGGAAAGGCCAGTCAGGCTGTGGGCTGTGAAAAGTGAGAACGAAGGGCTCTGGGGAACAAAGATGACTTTTCCCTCCGTTCGCAATAATGGTTGTCTACCCCCAAAGAGGCAGTGCTGAACAGGAGCTGCACTTCAGCTCCTTCCAACCTGTCATCTTGCAGGATATGGCTACTACATACTTATTGTATGCCAAGGCAGTATGAAGAAACCTCAGGTGCCCTTTACAGACCCTGATGAAATAAGCATTCAGCTACATTTAATGAAGCTAAGGTTATTTAGAAGCAGCAGCAGCAGTTGTTGGAAACTCAGTGAAAGCACAGGCCAGCAAATCTTAAAAGAGCCCAATTCC